ATATCTCCTAAATTCTTCATTCTTTGTTTTTGAGATGGATTAAGCTTTCCTTAAGCTTAAGTATCACCTAAGGATCAAACTCTTCTCTTAAAATCAACAAATAATCAAACAACCAGAAAACTTACCTTTGCTTTAGTTCTTCCCGGTGTAGAAGAAGAAAACTGGAGAAGAGAAGTCTAGAAACCCTTGTTTCCTACACATACCCCACGTGGGTATATAAAAATATCCTCAACCAATATTTAATTAATTTCCTTATCCAAAGACCTATTTGCCCATTGACTTTTCCTTCATTTGCTAACTCATCCCTTAAAATATTTCAATTAAACCCTTGAAATTTTTAACTTATTTCAAAATTGAGCATTAAGTTTTCAAAATTTGCATTTAAGTCATTGACCCATCTTTTGGGATGTTACACTATTCATATGGTACCGATACCAAAGGTAAGGGAAATATCGATACTACCAGCATTGCTCAAATTCCAGAATGAAAAAATGGTACCAATACCCAAAGGGGTATCGATACTACTTTACATAGTAGTATCGATGTCATAAGCTTAGTATCGATACCGTTAGACCCAACGGCTAGTAATGACTAGTTTTATTTAAAAATAACAAAGGTAGTACCGATGCTCCCTATAGGAGTACCGATACCCTCTGTACTGTGCAGTTTATTTTGCAGAGAAAAGCATCCCCAACAGCTCTAAATCACTATCAATGGCTAGAAACGGCCGCAAACTCATTCCAACATATAAATACAAGTTCAAGACACTTGAAGAAGGGTTAGAACACCTATCCAAGCAATCAAATACAAGAGAAGAATTTTTCACTCTTTATTCTTATTCTCTTGTAAATATTTTGTTCTTGTGAGCTTTAATTCTTTGTAAACACTTACCTTTTTAGAGGTTTTCTTAGTTTACATCTTTTTCCTTATAAAGGGGTTTTGGTTCTAGCTGAGTATGTTAAAAGCTAGGGAGTTTTGTAAAGGTTATTTCTTTGTCCTTGAAAAAGAAATAACAAATTAGTGAATTTGTTAGGAAATCCTGAGTGAGGAACTAAAGTAGTGGATGTAAACTTAGTTGAGAAGTAGAACCACTATAATTCGATGTGCCAAATTATCTATCTTTTCTTTCTCCTTACTCCCTAAACAAATTTTTTCCATTTCACCCCCTCGTTCATTTTCGTTTGATCAAATTGAGCTTTGAAAATCTCAACATATTCAATTAAAATAGAATATCAAGGGTTTAAAAGTTAAAGGTCAGAATTTAAGAGTTAAGATTTATCTTTTATGTTTTAAAAAATAAAATTATATAAACTTTAATTTATATAATATGTGTATTAAAAGGTTATTTTAATTATAAAAATAACTTTTATTAAGAATAACATGAATAAAATGTATTTAGAGATTGTTTGATTTACCGAATGTAAGATTATTTTTGAGAAAAAGATTATCAGAATATAACATTATTTGACGTATTATTTAGAATGTTATATTACTTTGTTTGGTTTATTTGACAATCGTAAAATTACAACAATTGGTTGAGGAAATATAATATATGAATAATATATATTTTACTAAATTGCCCTTCTAATATATTTTGTTATTAACGAATTGAATTCTCAAAGTTAAAATAAAAATACTTGGACGAAAGTTCATATAAAATTCAAATTTTCTATTATTTATAATTTATATATTCTTCTGCAATATAATTTTAAAAAAAATAAATATACTTTTTTATTTATATTTTTTATTTCTTTGAAAATATAAAAAATACTTATATTGGTGTAAGTATGTGTTTATTTCTAGGTACCAAGATATTGAGAGATATACTTACTTATACTTACTTACACATACATAATAAATAATCAAAGTAAAATTAAAATTTAATATATATATACATTACTTTTTAATTTATATGCATCATATTATTTTATAACAAGTATTAAAAAATCTGGTACCATAACTAAAAAATTAAATAAATTTATACTTGTTTAATTATATATAAAAGGAAGAATTATTTTGAAATAGCTCTATTATTTTAGTGATAATCTTATCCTAAAGGGAGAGAATTGTCTAACACCTATGAAATGAAAGGGAATGACATTCCTAAAAAAATGCTATGTGGGGAATAGTCGATACTTCTAAAAAGATTGCTCTTAAACCAAACGTGAATGTGTTATTATAGAGAAAATATTTTACCTAATAATAATCTTTGATGTAAACCAACACCCACTTAAATTTATAAGCCAAACTCACGCTATCCTTTAAAATCTGTAGCCTCAAGGACAAATGACGGTTGAGGAAGAACAAAAGGAGGGGAAGCAGCCAAAGGAAGCACTCAATTCAAGCAGAGAAGAAACTTGAAAGAATTACAAGTTATAAAGGCAGAAGAATCTCAGTCGTTAAATGCCAAATAATTCCACGGCATTATGTTTTGTCTTTAACTATTGGTATAAACCTCAATTAAATTTAAAATCGAGTTTAATCAAAATTTTAAGTTGAAATAAAGATTTTTATTTACTTCATTATTGATTAATATTATAAGATGAGATATTAAATCTTTTAAATAGATTATAGTCTTGTATTTTATTTATAAATAAATTAAATTAAACTAATAAAAAAATCTATCTATAACTAACTTCTAAATTAATTTAATAAAAAAATGATAATATCCGTTTCAATATTAACCGACAGAAGGAAGAAAAAAAAAGGAAATTGGTAACGAGAAGTTGTTGAAGAAGTCGTTTGTTTAAAATATAATCGAAATTGGTGATATTCTTGTCTTCCATTGTATATGTTTTCCTTCTCTGCCCATTAAACAATGAAAATGGCATATTACCAATCATCCTTTCCCCTCTATAGGAAACACCCATCATTGCTGCCAACAATCCTTTTCATTTCAACCTTAGAAACCTGAGCTCCAAGATATTCCTTCCCCTTCTCCCCCCTTTCTTTCTATTTCTTTCTTTCTCCTTTCTCTCCACTTTTGTTTCTTGTATTTTGTCCAACAATGGATGCATCTTCAATAAACTCAGTCAATGGATTCTACACCTTCTTGACTCGGGGCATAGATGATCTTGAACGTGTTTACCTCTCTAATAACTTCATGTCCATCCAATTCCTTCAAAGGGTCCTTTCGCTTCTCCGATCTTTCCATTCCCAGCTACTCCTCCTTGTCCAAAAGCTCCATCTCCCCGTCGGTGATAAGTGGCTCGACGAATACATGGATGAAAGTTCTAAGCTTTTGGAAGCTTGCCATGTTATTAAATCGGGCATCTCCGGCATCGAAAATTATTACTCTACTGGGTTTAATATCATTTCCTCTTTTGATAATCATCGTCATCTTAATCACCAGCTTTCCAGACAGGTCCTTAAATTCCCAAACCTTGCAACATTTTTTTTCTTTGGTTTTTAGCATTGAATTCATGATCTGATATGACTTTTTTTTTTCAACTGTATGAAAACAGGTCATCAGGGCAATTTCAGGGTGCCGAAGAGAAGCTGTGGGATTGGAAGAGGAAAACAGGGTTTTAATGGAAACGAGAATCCAACCACTTTCTTTAAGGTCCGACGAGAAAGTTTCGATTGAATCAAAGCTGAATGGATTCAATGGTTTCCGAGGAGTTTTGTACGCCATGAGGAATGTGAGTTCATTGCTTCTGATGATCTTGCTGTACGGGCTAGTTTATTGCCGGTCGGAGTCGAGTTTCCTACGAGGAGGGTACGAAGGGTGTTTAATTTTCGGATCGGCTTTTATGATCTCAACGGCGAGAGTGCAGCAAAGAGTGGCGGCAGAGATCAACGAAATGAATGGGAGGCCGGGGATATTGCTTTACGAGTATAGGAGATCAAAGTTGGCAATGGAGGAGCTGAGAGGGGAACTGGAGAGGAGCGGCGGAGGAGGGATGGGGGAGTGGGAGACGGAGGGTGGGGGGATAAGGGAGAGGGTGGAGAGCTTGAAAGGGTGGTTTGGGGTGTTGAGATCTGGTGCTGACAATTTTGGTGTGCAACTTGATGATTTCTTTGATGAGATTGTTGAAGGGAGGAAGAAGCTCTTGGACTTTTGCAGCCATAGGTAGAAAATAAAAAGAGGATTAAATCATAAATAAAAAAAAAAAGAATGTAGGCTGGTTGAAAAAGGAATATTAGATGGAAGAAGGTGGTTGTCAATGTATCTTTTGAACTCTCTTCTTTCTAAAAAGATTTTATTTATTTTCTTCCACTTCCTGCATTTATTGTTTCTACTGCAGTTGAAACTTGGAGATAGTTGTTTTTCCAAAAACCCTAGAGGAAAATTATATGCCAGGCCTTCAACCATTTCAACCATGTAAACAGTAAAACAAGAAAATGAGTATTTTTAATGCCAGGGCAAACCAGCCTCCATTTCCTCTAACAAAAGGGCATAGAATGTTCTATATAATTAATTATGTGTATAACTAGAGTAAAGAGGGCTACATATATAAAGGGTAATTAATATTTAGAATGCGACTTCCGGTCATATATTTTTAAAGAAACAGCTTCGTTGCTCTTGGGAAGCCCTTTGTTTGTTTCTGTATTGAAGGCAATGGAGTTCAATGATGAAGGCTTCCGACTTCTAATCATATCCCCTCCATTTCATCCTGACATGTCTCCATCAGTGGTAGCAGAAAGTCTTCCCAGAATATTATGATTTCCGACTCTGCTACCGTTACCTGTTTCTTCACTTTCTTTTTATTTGTTTGTTATTTTAATCAGAGATTTCAGCTTTTGTTTCCTCTTTACAAGCTGGTTACTGAAACCACACATTATCAACAATAAGCACGATACCAACAACAGGAAAACTATCAATAGCAACAACATATGTTTACTCCTCAAAATCAAATTAGAATATCCTACAAGATACATGCGGGACACAGTGACATCAAATGTTTTCTCTATATATTTAAACGAAAGGGTATCCTCGTACTCATATCCAGATAGTATTAAACATAAATGTCGGACAAAAACTTACAGCAGCGGTTTCGCGGTGCCGACTAATTCAGTAGGCTGCATTGAATTTGAGGTTGGCACAATCCACATGGCAGATATAGTAGGATTTGTTGCTGAGGTTCTTCCCGGATGGAGATATCTATATACTACAGTTCTATAAAATATGATTGCATCATAAATATATACTATTTATACTGTTTTGAAACAAATCACTCTTTACAAAGCTACACAAGTGAAAGACAACTGATTCAGCAAAGTGATTTTTGACCTACGCTATGTAATTTACAAGTGTAGAATGGGAAGACATGAACGGCCAAAATTGATTGAATGACCAGGAAAAGATGAGGGGGTATGCCAGAGAAATAACAAAATTGTGTCAAGACCATCTTTATAAATGTTCAATCATCAAATCCAGGCATTGCAAACTGAGCAGCAAATGCTTCAACTCGGTTACGAAGATCAATAATATCTTTGTTATTGTGAAGACCCTTGAGAAACTCTTTCTGCAATTTTCCATGATCTCTCTTTACAGCACTTGTAATCTGAGCTGCTCTGTAAAGAAAGTCGGCCATTGTCTCAAAATCAGACTCTAAACAACCTCTTGATGTCATAGCGGGTGTACCTGAGAGAAAATTAGGGAAGTTGGGACATTTATGGAAAAGGATGGATTGTAACCCAGCACTTATGTGACAACAAAGCACAAACCTAAAACATAATATCTGCTCCTTACCAATTCATCCCAACTCCTTGTTTTCCAATAGAAGTTTCTATCGTAAGCACTTGTGTGACAACCAAGCACAAACCTAAACCCAGCTAATTACTATTAATGGAAAAGGATGGATTGTAACCCAGCACTTATTGACAACAAAGAACATATTAACACACCAAACATAACTGATTACTATTAGCCTGATTAGCTCATTCCATAGACTAAAAAATTGCAGAAAGTGAATACCAAACAAAAATAAGGCATAATATATAATGACCCTTTGTGAAGCTGTCTAAAAGTACTATAAATTTCTGCAAAAGAGAAAGCAAGAATAGTCCTTACCAATTCTAACTCCTCCAGGAGAAATAGCACCATTATCACCAAAGATAGCAGTTTTGTTCAGAGTGATGTGGCACATTGCACAAACTTTCTCATAGCATTTACCTAGGACACATAATAAACGAGTTAATTATAGAAGGACGAGTTTAAGGAAGCAGAGGTAACAATATAAAGGAAATGCATTGTGTATCAATAATTCCATGTACAAGTTTTGTCATAAGAATAAATTATTAGAATTATCATATTGGTTAGTGGTTAAACTACAAATTCCTAGTGAAAATATGGAACACATATGAAACAATTTTTAGCTCACCAAATAGATGGGTAGACTGAAGAAAAACTTGTAGCAAATATGGTCTACAAGCAGTTGACTAGTAATATTTATTATAATGAACTGCATGTTGATCTTCACAAGGTTTTTTTTTTGATAAATCCAAGAATCAATATCACACTTTCCAAAATGATCAAGAAAAAGAACATAAAAAATGATTGATAAAACCATTAAGAAGTTTTAGGTGAAAATTGGTCACAAAAAACTCCAATGTTCACACAATCAAACAAAATCACAAGAAATAACTTGATTCCAACAAAAAACAAATTCAACATGTTAGCATATATCTTCTGAGCACGTACATGAACCAAAAATTTATCATATTGAGTAGGCAAGATTAGAATACCAGTCAAGCCTAGAGAAGTGAGGTCCCAGAGCAACAAATGATTGTCGGTGCCCCCAGTAACCAACTTGCATTTTCTTCTCAGCAGAGCAGACGCTAATGCCTGAGCATTTTTCTTCACCTGTTGCACATATGCTTTGTACTCTGGTGTAGCCACTTGCTTCAAGGTTATGGAAAGAGCGGCGATATGATTATTATGAGGTCCTCCTTGTAATGATGGGAAAACAGCAAAGTTAATCTTTTCCTCAAAATCATACTGGCCACTACAATCACCATTACTGAGACACATGCCTTGCTTTTTAGATTTTGCACCCCTCCTATAAAAAATTATACCTCCCCTTGGGCCACGTAGACTTTTGTGAGTTGTTGAAGTAACAATATCACAGTAGTCAAATGGACTGGCACATTCCTGTAATGGACAAAGAACAAGAGTGAACATGCTGGTAAGGGAAAGAAAAATACAAATTTATATGATTTACTAGCCAACCAAAAGGAAAAGAAAAAAGGGAAAGAATCATCTATAGCTCTGACTACGCGAAGGCTGATAAGGTCCATGTGCATTTACATTATACGACTCAAAGCATGTGTGTGTAAGTATCCATTTCTAACAAACTCAAACTTGTCCGAAAGGAGAAGGATAAAAAATAAAATCTTAGATGACAGAAAAAAGTCGGACAGTTCATGACATTTAGATAATAAACCAGTTCATCTCGCACAACATAAAAAGCAGGTTTAACCTCCACTCCACTTCAATAAGCCGTAAGTTACAAATGTTGTTTGGAAACACAGATTCAATAGGTGAATTTGCTTTCCAAATAAAGCGTAAGCCGTCTCTAAAACATAAGTCTGATGCTTCTTCTCTTTTGTATTTCTCAAATGTAAATTTTGGCAGGTAATTTTAGGTTGAGTTCAGTAGCATGAAATTGAAGGCTGTGGTGTGTGAATGGCGAGAATATTTGGCAGGCCAACAGTTATAATCCTTTACGATTTACAAACAGCGATTCTACTTTGTAAGTTGACCTAAGTGGTTTCAAAGCAATGAATACTTTTGTAGTAACTTAAGTTGGGCATATAATAATCCAAATGAATTGCAAGAAACCAAATACAGTGCCAAAAACTGCAATAAACCTCGACTCAAAACATCAAACCAATAAACATGCAAAACAATAAAATTTCGAACCTGAGCTGCCACAAGACCACTAATATGAGCCATATCGCACATCAACACCGCTCCACACCTATCTGCAATCTGCCTAAACCTGGCATAGTCCCACTCCCTAGGATACGAACTACCACCACAAATAAGAATCTTGGGCCGGTAATCAAGCGCCTTCTCCTCAAGCTTATCATAATCAATGTACCCGGTTTGAGGATTCACTCTATAAGGAAAGCTCTCAAAAAATATAGAAGCAGCAGATACTTTCTTCCCACCCGGCATATACCATCCATGGCTCATATGTCCTCCGGACGGCGAATCCAACCCCATGATCCGATCACCGGGCAACAGAATTCCGGTATAAACAGCAAATTTGCAGAAGTACATGAATATGGCTGCACATTAACACCCCATTTCTCGGAATCAAGATTAAAGGCTGCCAACGCACGCTTGTGGCATAGGGTTTCGATTTGATCTATAAACTGGTTGCCCGTATAGTACCTGGCTCCTGGCATGCCTTCGGAGTATTTGTTCGTTAAATGGCTTCCCAATGCTTCCATCACAGCTCGGCACACAAAGTTTTCGGAAGCAATAAGCTCAATTCCCAAGACTTGCCTTTGTTTTTCCTTTTTCATGATTTCACCCACTTCTGGATCCGCCTCTTCTAGCCGCTGGTTCCCCCATGAACGGACGGCTGTTCGTCTTTGCTCCAAGCTGAGTTCGCCGGCTAACCGTCTACAAGGGTTCGAAACAGGTTTAGAATCCCTTTGTCTCTTCAGGCACATAGATTTTCCTAAAATCCTAATTCCTTCATCATCGTTGTTATGTCCATTTTGCTCGCCGTTCTCGAACTGAGGGGCACCGTCTTCCTTATCCTCGAAGAACTGTAAAGGAACGGGCCGGACCGGGTTCGATGAGCGGCGAAAGCTGGTGTCGGTTTGTAGCGAAATCGAATCGTCTGTAATGGAATTTTTAATAAAACCTAGAGACAAACTCGATTGAGGCTTAGATAAATCCATTGAAACCCTGAAAAGTGGAACTTTTGAAATGAAAAAAAAAACGAAATCTTTGGGAGAAACTTTATAAGGGAGTTTAAGAAGAACAGCTTACAGCCCTTAAGGGTAAGTGTAAAAGCAACAGAAACAACGGCAGCAGTTCCTAAAGCAACTACAGCGCAAATAACGAAGCATTGCTCGACTCAATTTTGAAGCAAAGACCGAGCAAACAAATGGAAAAGGTGATATCTGAAGCCTTAGTAAATCGAAATATAATAGTATGTAATTGCAGAAAGGGAAAGGTTTAACTCATGTATGTAGATGATATCAAGGCTAGGTTCAAGCTTGTTAGCGGCCCAAAATAAGTCATACCCGGCCCATAACAAGAATTGAAGAGGGCTCGTGGATCCGGAAATTAATGCTTCGTTCCAACCTTCTGTCGTCGTTCACGGAGTCTTCATAATCGATTTCCTTGAACTTTCTGTCTTATTGGAATTATCTCAATTTTTTCACTATTCCGTCCGGTTCTTGGTAGGGGTGCACAAAAAATCTGAATATCCGATTTTACGAAAAAAATATCCAAAACCGGATTTGGGAAAAACCGGTTTTTTTTAACCGGATCGGATTTTTTTAAACCGGTTATTTTAACCGGTTTGAAGAAAAAAACCAAGACCGGTTTTTTTACCGGATAAAAAACCGGTTTTTATCCGGAAAAAAAAAACCGGTCTGGGTTTAAAAAACTAGCCGTTAATATAGCCGTTAGGGGGTTTTGTGACCGTTTTTGACCGTTTTTTTCTTTAAAAAATTACCATTTTACCACCCTAAACATGTATAAATAGGTTGGGGGTGTATTTGGTTGATTACAAATTTCTCAAATCTTATTACACAACACTTAAACATCTCTCAAATCTTATTTTTGTAATTTTTTGTTCATCATGAGTAACACGGCTGAATCTTCCGTCGGAGGAAACCTTGAAGTCGTGAGAGTGATCGAACACACTCGAAACAAAGACATCTGGGATCACTACGATTTATGTGAGATGTCAAATGGCTCGAGGAGGGCGCGTTGTAAACTTTGTCTAAAGTTTCTTGCATCGGAAGGAAACAAAACGTTGAAGAACCATTTGACAAAATCATGCAAGGCACTTCGCTCAAGATCGGATCCTAGTCAATCGAATCTTACACCGCAAGGTGGTGTTTTTGTTTACGACAACGAAAAATTACGAGAAGCGTTTACAAAGTTCGTGATTACAAAAGCATTGCCGTTCGACCACTTTGATGATGAAGATTTCACGACAACAATTCAACAACTAATGCAACCACGTTATACTCAAGTAACTCGTACTACCCTTAGAAGAGATGCTATAAAAATGTGGCGTACGGCGAGGGAAAAAATGATTTTAGGATTCCAAGAACACCGTTATGGTGTGTCGCTTACATGTGACGTTTGGAGTTCCCCTCATAATACCGGAAATTCTTTTTTAGCCGTTACGTCACATTGGTTAGATTAAGATAATTGGCAAATGATGAAAAGAACAATCGCGTTTGAATTATTCGGTGAGCCGCATACCGGTGCTAATTTATTTACACTTTTAAAAAGGGTAATTTGTCTTTATAAATTAGAAAATAAAGTTTTTTCTATATCCTTTGATAATGCATCGAATAATACAAACGCGGTTCCAAGATTGAAAATATTACTTTCACCGATTTTAGACGGTGCATTTTTTCATACCCGTTGCGTTGCACACATAATTAATTTATCCGTGCAAGCCGGTTTGGAGGTTATTGAGCCGATTAGATTAGAATTTAAAACAATGATAAAATCGGTTCTTTGTAACAACAACAAAAGACTAAATGATTATAAACGATTTTGTAAGTCCGTTAATAAAAAAGCTTTGGGTCCTAATTTGGATTGTCCAACTCGTTGGAACTCAACTTGGATGATGATGCATATGCCTTAAGGCAAAGGAAACATTGCAAACATTTCACGATCGGCTTTTCGAGAGGGGTCATGTCCCAAACATTTATCCGGATTCGAGTTGGGAAACTATAGCCAAAATAACCGATTTGCTTGAGGTTTTTAAAAATGCAACAACTTTTTATCCGGTGTTTATACCCTACTAGCCCGTTGGTTCTTAATCAAATATTTTTGTTGGCTACCCGACTAAATGACTTTGAATTTGAAACCGAAGTTTTTCAAGAAATTGGCTTTGCAATGAAGGAAAAACTTTTAAAATATTTTAAGGAGATTCCCCCATTTTTACTTGTGTCGCCGCTTTAAGCCCAACGTTAAATGTTGGTGGGGTTGAAACACTAATTGAACAAATTGCGTTTGCTTTTAATCTAACCGATGATGAACCCAACTTTGTCCAAAACCAAATAAATTATTTTAACAAATGTTTTCGAGACATGTTTGCAATTTATTTAACTAAATACGGATCAAGTAGTGTAATACACGATCAAATGAGAATGAATGCGGAATCATCTAGTAGAGTCCAAGTAACATAAATTTGAATCTTTTTAACACTCTTGTAAATTCCCAATCCAAACGATCACGTACTACCACCCCAAGTAGCGAGTTGGGAAATTACATGTCATGCGATTTTCTATCAAAAGTGACATTTGAAGAGTTTGAAAGTTTGGATATTTTGGCTTGGTGGAAAGAAAAGGAAGCACAATTTCCGATTCTAGCCGCCATGGCCCGTGATTTACTAACCGTCCAAGCTTCTACGGTAGCTTCGGAATCCACTTTTTCTGTTAGTGGCAGGGTTATATCGCAACGGAGATCAAGACTAAGTCCGAGTCGGTGGAAGTATGCATTTGTTTAAAGGATTATTTGGATGAGCGGCTCGTAAGCAACATATCACCACCCTAGAAGATGCAATTGATGCCGATTTGGAAGCAAACTTACACATTGAAGAAGTCGAACTTGGAATATCCCCTCCAAACGAAGAAGGCGAAGATGATGAAGAAGAGATGGCAATGTAGTTTATTTTATAACTTTATTTCAATTATCGTAAACTTTGTTTCAATTATCGAACTTGAAGTTTTTAAGTATTTGAATTTATCGAACTTGGAAGTTTTTAAGTATTTGAATTTATCAAACTTGGAAGTATTTAAGTATTTCAATTATGTTGAGTTAATTAAGTATTTGAATTTATCGAACTTGAGGTTTGATGCTTTCTCTTTGATTCTCTCTTGATTCTAGTTGCTTGATGTTTCTTGTCTTTGATCAATGGCTTCTAAGCTTGCTTAAATACACCTTGAATCACTTCTGAACGTTAGTGATAATTAATGAAGATCATATAGCCGTTTAAGTGTGAAAACATTTAATAAAAATGCTTGGAGCGTGTGGGAATCGGTACCCTCTCATAGGGAATCGGTTCCCTAAGTGTAAAATTCAAATATTTCGACCGTTGAATAGGGGGGAATCGGTTCCCTCCGAGCATTCTGAAAATCTCGGAGCCAAACCATTCAGTGAGGAATCGGTACCCCCTTGGGGGGGGAATCGATTCCCTATGAGCAATCTGGAATATTAAAATCGGTTTTTTATAACCGGTTTTTTAAAAAAACCGGTTTTTTTAAAACCGAAACCGGTTATACCGGTTAGGATATCCGGCCCTCCAAACCGGTTAGAAACCGAACCGGTTATTTTATAAACCGGTTTTTTTTCTATGGAAAAAAACCGGATCGATTTTTTTTTATCCGATCCGGATCGGATTGAAATCCGACAAATGTGCAACCCTAGTTCTTGGTGTGCTTATCGTTTTCTTCTTCATTATTCTCTGTAACTTTATTTTTCTCTCAAAACTTTCGCTTTTCTAGCTTTTTCGTGACTTAAGGGTTCTGTTTGCTTGATAACTATCCCTTTCTTTAATTTGTTCATAAATTCCAAAGGTTGGCTGTTTGCGTGGAAGTTGGCTCTGGATCTCGTTCCGCTGGTATTTTCGGTCCGAGGAAAAAACCGGTTAAACCAAAGTCTCGGACTCGTCGATTATCCAGCCATTATAACACCATCAACTCTCATAATTCTACTTCTCTATAGGTAAGTAAAATTTGTTGCATGCGTTAGCATGAAAAAGAGATTGAACTGCTTAGTTTTCGATTGATAATCTACCAGTTAACTAATCATTAATTAATGCACAAATATGATTAGAGGGTGTTAGTTAAGGTGAAATTGATAACAGAGACGGTGAAATTCTACAACACCAGGACGTCGGTGAGTACTTTATATTTTTTATTTTAAGTTTCTTCGTATATTTGGATAATAGTTCGTACTCATGTCCGAGCATATCTTAAATGAAGAGACCAGAATCCAGATGGCTTTTCAGTTGATCATCAAAATCAAACCCATCCAGTGACCTGCGACTACCAACTAGAGAAAAGAAATGGTAAAAGACGCTGCTTTGACAAATAAATTTATTTGAATGCCTTCACCTTTGATGAGATGGTCAGAGTATCCCTTTTAGATTTACTGATCATCTCCAGCTGTTGGTTGCCCAGAAGATCTATCAGTGGCCACAGTTACTTTCTTATTCCCTGGTCCTGAAGAAACTTTCACCATCGCTGGTCTTAATAGCCGCTCCCCAAGGAGGAACCCTCGACGAAATTCATGGGTGATAATCCCTTCTTTGAACTCTAGAGACTCTTCTCGAGCAATGGCTTCATGTAGCTGTATCCGACAAGTGAGACCAGATGAATCAATAACAGAAACAACTAGGAATATCCTATCACTCCAAAGCCGACAAGTTTATTGTTCAACCAAATTTCTGGATAGTAGTAGTATGTCTCATTTTCTAGAAAGAATACACCTAAATCAAGAATGTATTCCAAAGACCTAACTTTTGCCGACTATATGGAATGATCCAGACATGAAAACTACAGCTAACGGGTATATGCACCAAACATTGTAATCTTCTCATTCAAGATTCAAATATGGACCCGTCCTCTCAATTCTAGAGGCATGCTTTTGCTGCTGACATCCAACGTCGAAAGTCAAAAGCATTTGCAAGCTATCATATGAACCTAGAAGTAGCACAAACACACGATATAGTTTTCGCATGGGATATGACTAACATAACAAACCCCATCACGTGCAAGTTTCAAAGATTATCAGGATAGTAATGGATTTTGAAACTTAAAAGAAAAACCGAAAAAGACAAAACTAGCAATTGAACCAAAGTGTTTACTTGACTGGGGATTTGGTTACTATAGTACATATTCTCAGAAACATTTATACAATTAACCAAACTGTGTGCGCGTTTACATAATATATCTCAGTATGCTACACTTGCAAGATGCTTTCCAGTGTGACTGAATCAGACGAAACCCTATAGATGTCTAGCAACTAAAAAACAGCAAGCATTATGGATAGCATTAAGACACTTACAGAGGGATCAAAGGGCTTTCCAACTGTTGGGACAACAGCCACTTGCAAACTCCTCATGATCTCCACGAATTGCTTGTATATACCCTGATAACTCGTATCTATCTTCTTTTCTTTCTCTGTTTCCGGTTTTATTTGTTGTTTAGCTCTCTCGAAACTGTCAACCATGGGCAAAAGACTCTCGATCACTTCGCCTTGAGCATCGGACCTCGTCGTAAGTCTCTCCTTCTCCGATTTTTTTCGAAAATTATCAAAATCAGCATGCAAACGGATATACATCTCTTTCCCAGAGGTTATCTCTGCTGACAACTCCAAAACTTGTTTTTCCAATCCATTCTTCTCATTTTCTAAAATGCTTATTCTATTCTCAATCTCAGCTACAATCCTATCATCTCCACTGAGAAGAGCCTCATTGTAAACTCTAATCATGCCCTTTAAACTGCCTCCTAATATTTTTACATTTTCCTGATAAAAATTCCTTAATGAAATTATTACTATTACAAACAATTAAATTATAATATGCAACTCTAATCAATTCAATTGCCATCTCTTACTAATTTTCTTCTACTTTGAAATAATAAAAACTGGAAATTTCTACAAATCCTTTCTTTTTCTATCTAAAGTTACGACTCACTTCACAACACGTATAATGAAAAGAAAACGAAAAGCCCAAGAAAGGGGGGTAACTTACAGTGCGAGCAGATTCCTGGGCAGAAAGAGAAGCCTTGAGAATCGACCTATTGGGACACTTCGTGCAGTTCATAGGGAAGGAAAGGTTAGATGGAGAAAACCCAGAAAATGGTTTTGAAAAACGAGGTTTTTGGCAAGGAAATTGAACTCGTAGTAAAGATGATTTGGTGTGGTTTAAGGGTTTTGAAGAAGAAGCTGAGAAGTGAGGAGACAACACAGAGTGATTAGAGAATGAAGCAGACAGTTGCTTAAGTATGTATATTGATTACTAAGTTTGTGTTAACAGATTTTAGTCGAAAATTCCTGAGGAACTTAGAGCCGGGATAAGGGGTCCTTGGCGGCCGATCAGCCCTTCGGCTTTGTTGCTCGAACTGCTTGCCTTTGCCCAACACCGTTAGTGGTGGATTTCTTCCTCTGCTGAATGATTTGATAATTTATCCTTTGGGCTGTGCTCGCGGGTCTGCCCCTACGTTTGGAGAAACCAACACCCAATGGGATTGATCTCTTCTCGAATATTCTCAAATTTTCCTCTCTTTTTCTCTCTCGTAAAATGAATGAAATATAATTTTCCAAATAGAAAATAATCTCAGTGACCAAAAATGCCTTATAATATACGATTTTAATCAATTTTTTTTGGATTTGCCAAAATGATCAACTAAATCGCAATGCGATCGATAATTCGCAACGTGATCTCCGGTATCGCAAATCAGTTTCTAGATTCGCAACGCGATTCTGACTATCGCATTGCGATTTCCCAAATTCTACGTAAATCGCAACGCGAATACGTAAATCGCAATGCGAATCTGACTATCGCAATGCGATTTACATAGCGCCATTCGTATTAACGCGTATTTTTTTTCAAATTCCAAACACGAATATATTAATATATCAGAAACTGAACCGTCCACAGTATATCCCGTAATCGCAACTCATAACCTAAAACCCTAAATCACAACTCAGACTCATCTCCATCTCTCACTCTCTAAGGCGACATCTGTCCCCATCTCTGACAAAATCAGTCCCCACGACGATAACAGTCTCCATCTCCGACGAAATCATTCACGGTCAGAAATGAAAAATCAATCAAATCAACCACCGAGGTTAGTTTTTTTAATTATTTTTATTTTGAAATTTTTGCATTATTATTATGTTTTTCATATTGAAATTGATGATAAGTTTACTGGTATTTTCAATAACAGATTAACCATTTCACTTAGATTGCTTATTATATTCATTCGATTGCTGTCAATACTGCTAAACTGTTTAGTCTTTAACCCTGTGAAGTTAGTATTTGTCTTTGTTTTGTCTTTTGGTTGAAGTAATGCAATCCATTCAAGTTTCTTTCAATTTTAGTATTTGAAACCGAAAATGACTATCGCAACGAGTGAATCGCAAAGAGAAAATGACTATCGCAATGCGAATTTGACTATCGCAACGAGAGAATCGCAATGCGATTTTCATTTTGCGTTGCGATAGTCAAATTCGCGTTGCGATAGTCATTTTCGTGTTGTGATTTTCATTTTCGTGTTGCGATTTAAAGTTTCAGGAACTATTCTTCTTCTGCAAATTGAAACTTGAATGAATTGCATTACTTCAACCAAAAAACAAATACTAAATTCACAGTGTTGCAAATTTAAGTTTGAAGAATAAACTACTACTCTTTATTGTGCATATCTTCACAGTTTGGTATATCTAAATTGGTATGTTTATTGTTTTTGCAGAACTTTTATTCGGCTCAATTGACCTTAAGAAATAAAGTAAGCCTGGCCAAAACAATTGCGTCGAAGCTTTCACCTGCACAAAGAAAAATATTTGCGGATACTTGCTTCGGGCCATGGCTGAAAGTACAACATCCGGGTGGAGATGCTATGTTGACCCATCTGTTTCTTCAAACCATGACTAGCGATCTACCAGAGACTATACAACGTCGTGATGAAGAGATATGGTTTGATTTTCCACCGGCGTATACGTGTTTTGGGCGGGAGGAGTTTTGCTTAATCACCGGTCTACGCTTCGGACACGATGATGTAGATCGATACACTAGACATATTACCAGCCTATCATGGTTTTCTCGGGTTTTTCCTGAGCAGTTAACGGAGAATTCGAATTTACACGTGGAAGACTTGACGAGATTATTGAATAAGAAATATGGTTTTACTCGGATGGATGACGTCGATGTTGTCCGAGTATGCCTTCTAATACTTTTGCAAGCCGGCTTTTTAGGCAGAGAGGCCCGACAACCTATTCCTAATAATCTAATTAAATTGGTAGAGGACCTAAATGCATGGAACCTGTTTCCGTGGGGTTCGTATCTATGGAGAGCTACATGGAATAAGTTGTCGTCTGCCTTTAATGATCGGAAAAGTTTGCGTAGCGATGGTTCCAAATACACTTTGTCAGGCTTTATTTGGGCCTTTAAGGTAATAATTTTTATATAATGTTTCCAAAATTATAATTAATTCTTTAACAATTACTAATGTTTGTTATTATATTGTTTGTAGATTTGGATATTTGAGGTTTTTCCCACCATGCAGACATATGCATTAAAAACTCCTAATGATATTCCTAGGGCTATTTCCTGGAAGAGGAAACGATCCTTGCAGCAATGGGAAGATTTACTACCGTATACTACAATAAATAATGTAAGTTAACACAAATACTACCATATGTTTATAAACAAGTTATTACTAGTACACGTTTAACTTTGTTTGAGCTTTTATATTGTTAGGAGGCCAACACTCCATTACAGAGGCTGACACCCACGGAAGCTGAGCTTGCCATTGACTGGTGGCAAGCTAGTAAGCTTTTTTTTTTTATGGCACAGATGATGAGCAGCCATCACCTCACCCAGAGCCATCACCTGATCGACCCGAATATACACCTCCACAACGAGAGTCATCACCTATTCTGTCACATCATCGAGCCCTTTCTCCACCATCACCTCATGATAAGCGACCGACAAAGATATCACGACATTTATCTCCCTGTTCTCCACCTCCACGGATGATTTAGGGGAGTTACGTAATGAGGTCAATGCCTTGTGTGAGGAGGTCGGTACTTTACGCGATGACAATGGTGCATGGCGTGTTGAGGTGTCTACTTTACGTGGTGAGGTAGCAGCTCTACGTGAGATTGTAGCATCGTTGCAGAATGAGGTTCATACTCTACGCAACGAGGTAAGTTTAATATTTTTCATATTTAACTTGATGATAAATTTACTCGTAATTTCACTTAAATTGCTTAGTAAATTCATTCGGTTGCTGTCAATACTGTTTAACTGTTTATTCTTTAACCCTGTGAAGTTAGTATTTGTTTTTGGTTGTCTTTTGGTTGAAGTAATGCAATCCATTCAAGTTTCAATTTGCATAAGAAGAATAGTTTACTATCGCAATACGAAAATGACTATCGTAACGCGAAAATGACTATCGCAATGAGAGAATCGCAATGCGAAAATGACTATCGCAACGAAAGAATCGCAATGCGAAATGAAAATCGCATTGCGATTCTCTCGTTGCGATAGTCAAATTCGCATTGCGATAGTCATTTTTGCGTTGCGATTTTCATTTGCATTGCGATTCTCTCATTGCGATAGTCAAATTCGCATTGCGATAGTCATTTTCGCATTGCGATAGTCATTTTCGCGTTGCGATTTTAAGTTTCAGATTCTATTCTTCTTCTGCAAATTGAAACTTGAATGAATTGCATTACTTCAACCAAAAGAAAAATACTAACTTCACAGTGTTGAAAATTTAAGTTTCAAGAATAAACTACTACTCTTTATGTTGTCATTGAACCTGCACTAAACCTATATGTTGTCCTTTTAAATGTTTATATAAGTGCTTACTTCTGGAATGTTATCTGATGCATTTTATGAACAATGATATAATAATGACTTGGGTGAATACCGTGCAAGTTTGAAATATATTTGTCTTTGTTCTCACTGTTTAATATCATGTCTGTTTATTTACTGGTTTATGTATTAATTTATTTTTAGCGGCTCGATAAGGTGGATGCTCTACGTCGGGTTTTCTTAAAAGACGGAGTTCACGCATCAGACGGCGTGCACGTGCCATTACGTCTCCGTTCACCCAATAGTGCGAAGAATCCGTAAGAAAAAGCCCGATTCACCTGTCATCGTTCAAGAGGCCTCCCCTATCGTTCAAGAGGCCCCTATCATCCCTCAAGAATCCCCTCCCACCGTTCAAGAGGCCACTGTCATCGTTGAAGAGGTCCCTCCCAACATTCTAGAGCCCGATTCACACGGCGTAATATATCGAATTATTGAGAAGCCCCCTCACGTGCCGGACATGATGGATGATTGTTGCCTTTCGTATAAGTTACCGGCCAGTACCATTTCGGCAGATGAAGTGGAGAGGAAACAACTACCGGAAACAATTCTGGATAATACCCTTTGGGCTAAGACCGCAGTTGATTTTTATCTACATGAGCGGAGCCAAGGGTGTTACGCTGACATATACAAACTCAACGATGATATGCATTTGTTGATTGAACGGTCTTGGTGGGGTGTATTATTAGGGGTTGAAAACAACGGCTATTTCGATGGGGGGTAAGTCTTATATTTCTTATATTTCAGTTTGATTATTTTTTTTTAAAATTTATGTAATTCACTAATAATGTCTTTTTTTTGTAAAATAGCATATTGATGCATGGGTGACACATCTTCTAATTGTAAGGAAATTGAAGAAAAATATTAAAAAAACACGATATACAATTATGCCGACATCTTTTCACGTAGGTCACTTGAAGAATCAACGACAGGAATCATATGTGTTGGCTAATGGACAAGCTAAACTTTATCCTGCATGGTGGGAGGTCGATAAGGTTAGTATATTTGTTTAAATATTTTAAAGGTGTTCATAAATAAGTGCGCAATTTGAATTATTACATTTCGATGCAAGTGTTTATCCCTGTTTTGGATCGTACTCATTGGCTTCTCGTCGAGCTTCAGCTCTCATCCCTAAAGATAATAGTATATGATAGCATGATAAATTACATATCATTGTCTGATTTTAGAGATATGATTAAGGGATGGAGCTCTCATTTGGCTAAATTCTTGGATGCAATTGATTATTGGACTAAGTCTGGAAACAATAAGACAAAGAAGTTTAATGTTACAGTTATCAGAGACGAGACCGCGCCATAATAAACGAAGGAAGCTAGAGGGGATTATGGTCCTCTCGTATGCATGTGCTTGGAGCGTTTGACGACAGGAAGTACACATTTTCTACCTCCCACCGATAGAGATAGAGGTGCAGTAGGCTTGTGGTTTTGGCATTTTATGGCTAGAGCGATATATGCGAGACGCTGCCTACCTGCATCCGCGTTATGAAAGTGTCCATAAACAATTTGTAAGTCAAATGCAAGTGTTGTTAAACATATTTACTCTTTTTGGTTTGAAAATGTTTGGTTAAGTAGCTAGAATTCAATAATTTGTTGTTTGT